TTGGAGTGCCAACTGCACTCTTATGGGGGCCGCTCAGTTCGGGTTGTCTGTGTTGCCTGTAGGTGATGACGGATGCTCGTCGGAGTAACTCCCTGGCTCAGTGGGTGGTGGGAACCAACACTCTGTAGGGATCAACCGTGATGTGAGTAGGTCGTGTGCTGCTTTGCTCCGTGTTGGATGTGTGGACTGCCTCGTCTGCGCACCACCGCCGCCTTGCTGCCTGTCTCGCTTGCTTTGCATGTTGCTCTCTGCAAGTTGCTGTGTTCACTGTGTAGTGCGGCTGTGTTGTCGGTGTTGCCTTGCGCTTCGCTGCTCCGCTGCCTTGCTGCCCACTCGCTGACCGTGCCTTCCGTGTTTCCGCGCTGCGCGCCATGTCTTCACTTGGAGACAGTCTGCCTTCAACAAGGGTCAAAGGGTTCATGACCCAAACCATCTAAYACGGAGATTCCCGCAGATTGTCGAGGGTTCAGCCTCCTGATGAGTCGGTGCAATTCYGACGAAACAATCTTTCATCATCAGTTTATTTATTTTTTTCAGTCTTCYGATGTACTTGGGACTATGTCTTGTGTATTTTTTTCGGTTTGTCTGCCGTTGTGTGCTTGTGTGCCTTTGGTCCTTTTTTTTTTTTTTTGTTGCTGCCTGCCGTGTCTGTTGCTTGGGTGTTGTCTGCCCTCCCTCCTCCCCCATGCCCTCCAGCCTATGTGTTGTAGTGTTGTCTGTGGCCCGTGTGTTTCATTGTTGTCCCTTCCTTGCCTTTGGACTCGACTCCACTCAGATGCGTATTCTCCTCCTGAAGTGTTGCGATGGTATGGTGCATGGTTTTTACTGTGCAGAGGTCTTCGCAATATGTGTTCACACACACACACACACACACACACACACACACACACACCACTCACCACAGAATATGCTCGCCCTCCTCAATCTCACGCTAAGCTATGGTGTGTGAGCATCGTCTATCCCAGCTATGTCTATTCTCAATCCCGCTCTCACTATCCTCCCTCTTTCGCCCAGTGCTGGCACTCTAGCAGCAGTGCTCCAGCCTCAAAGCGGAGCACGGCAGAATGAGTGTGCGACCTGGGGCAGGCGCAGTCTTTGTAGCTTGGACTCAGCCTCGCCTGCCGCCAGTAGTGTCCCTGTGTGGCTGAGATTTTATGGCCTGCGCAGCCAAGATTTCTTGCAGCCATTCTGTGCCTTGACCTGGTGAGCCCTGGGAGTTTCGAGAAACTGCTCTGATCCTCGGGACTCTGTGCGCTCAGCAGAAGTGGTCGACTCCTGAAAAATATAAACTCCTTGACTTCTAAACCAAGGATGGGCCTGACTGTTGACATCCCTAGGGAACACCTCGACCTGACCCTTGACCCTCAACCCCTCTACCTGACCCTTGACCCCTAGGACTTTTCTAACGACTTTCTAGAGCACCTCGACCTGATCCTTGACCCCTAGGCATTCCTGGGGCCTACTTCAACCTATAAGGACTTACCCAAGGACTTTGTAGAGCCCCCTGCAAGGAGGCTGGAGAGCCAACTTTTGACCCTAGAACTTGGACCTTTCTAGATCCCCTTGAGGCCGTAGGACTGACTTTTGACCCTATGTAGAGCCCCTTGCGAGGCTGTAGGGGGACCAACTGCTGACCCTGGAACTTGGACCTTTCTAGAGTCCCTCGCAAGGCTGTAGGACCGACTTTTGACCCTAGAACCTTTCTCGAGCCCGTTGCAAAGGGTGTAGAATTTGGACCTTTCCAGAGCCTCTTACATGGCCGATTCACTTTTGCATGCACACTCGCTCAGTTGCCTTTTCGCGCAGCGCTTGCTTTTTGCGCCTTGCCCACGAGCTCGTTTATCTTTTAGCGTGGCGGTTGCTTCTCGCGCTCTGCCCCGCTGCCGCTTTCCCCGCATGAAGCCCCGCTTCCCTTTGCTGGCATGGCCTTCGCATGGCAATTGCTTTTTGCGCCCCCTGCGCTGCTTTCCCCATGGGCCCCACGGCGGTTCGCACCACGGGCGTTCCGGTCCTGTCCCTCCGTGGGCACACCCTGCGGCTAGCCCCTGCCACGGTTTCTCGTGGGCCCACGGCAGCGTGCGTCGCAGGGACCTTTGTAACTTTTAAGAGTATAGGGATAACCGAACAGGATAATCTGAA